ACTTTTCAACTTATTTATAAATTTTTTATCCCAATACGAAAAAAAAAAAGAAACAACATACCCTATTTAAGATTGGAATATATATATGCATAAATATCATAATTATGTACATAATTATATCTTGCACCTCTTGAAAAAAAAATAAGATTTATGAGAATACTTATTCAATCTATTGTTGATACAATAGATCGATTGAATTGAATGATTTTATACAAGAAAATCATTCCTTATATAGGATATTTGAAGAACATGAACTATCACTCATTGATAATGATTAATAGATAATCATCGACGATCAATTTATCGTCAGTCGACGATGAATATGTATTTATTCTATTTACATTACATTCACAGCCGTAACTCAGTGACTAAAAAAAAAACAAAAAAAAACAAAAACAATTCATTTCAATGGTTATTGTTTGAATTTCCATGTAGGAAATTTCATTCTTTTCTTTGACATCATTTTCATTGAATAATGATGATTATTTTCGAAAACTAAGATTTTTTCATTACTTTCATTATACAAACGATCAAATAATTTATGTAAATTTTTTTAGAGAAAAATCGTTTTAATCGATGTCTGTTATGCGAAATTTATCGTGTGTCATAATTTAAAATGAATGAATATATGGTTGAGTTTTTGATGAAGTTCTAGATCAATTAATTACTAAACAAAGATTTATTGTAAAATATTTTCGTACATATATTTGTTTTGATGTATCAATTCTTTTCTAATTCATTTCATGAGTATTGTTCGGAATCTCATATTTCAAATCCATAAACAATTATAACATCAGCCTTCACTTGTTATGATACTGTAGTTAGTCAGTGGTCTTTTGACTTTCCTGTTTTCAGCATCATAGATTTTTCTTAATCAAACTAAATGTAATGATTTATCAGGTATAGATGGTAGTTCCAAAGAAATAAAGATTACTGTTATTGCTGGTAAAATTCGTCGTTGTATATATATTCATTATTTTACTTTTTTCTTTCATCAGATATTTCTAAGAAATATTCTATTTATGGAGTATCACCATAGTTGTTTCGCCATTTTCTATTCTAACGTTCTTAACTGGTTATTCTAATTTTAACGACTGATATAGAGAGTTTTTAGAACATATTTCTTTTAAATAAGAATCTTCAACTCATATTAATAAATTGTTTTGGTGTCTGACAAAGATGTTATAGTTGCTGTTGTCATTGATCTTTGTATTTGTCTTTCTTGTTATCATCCGTATTTCTAGATATGCCACGCATTAGACCATTATTTTGCGATTACGATTTCTTAAATTATTTTTTCGTTGCATAAAGGACAAGCCAGAAATCTTGATACGATTTGAATATTAAAATTTTCTTCGTGAAATAAATATTTGTAAAATTTGTCTTTATGATGAAAAGATACAGTAAAACACACACACTACAATATAATTTTTTATTCACTTCACTATTTCATGTAGTGAGAATTGAAATAAGAATGTAACGTAACTCGTTCGTAAAGTCTCAGAGAACAAATTCTATGTGTAAAATTGAAAATATATCATGTTAAGATTCTTTTTCTAAATCATAAATAAATAAGTCATCTGATAGGATCATCAAGCAAGATCGAACTTAGTTATGGTAACTTCTTCACTACCATTAAAAAGTCATATTTTTACTTAGATTTAAACAATAATTTCTTTGCTCATATCCCATTCAAAAACCAATTTTTTGTTTATTTTTATAAAAGTTTTATCTCATCTGATCAACTGATAAATAAATATATTGAAATCAGATTATGTTAAGTTAATAAAGAAGCACAGTTATTCAAGTCGAATTACCAAATCAGTTTTACATCCTTGTTATGACTTCATATATCTTATTTTTCGCGTAATTATTTATGAATGATATCAATTTATTATTTAAACTTTAAATTGAAAAAAAATAGAACATGATTTTATTTTATTATTATTGTCTATGAGCACAAGCCAGAAAATTTGTTTGATTATAATAAAAGTCGATTGTTTTATCAGCACATGCTCCTCCTCCAGTTGAACCAACATGTGGACAATGTATAGATGGTAATAAAGGTACAAAATATGTATGAATAAAACGGCAAATAACATTTCCTTGATCTCCTCTTGCTACTCTTCAACTAAATCAGCTGTTTTTTTTTCTTCTTAGGATAGACCATAGATTGAAGTTCTTATTCATGTTGAAACAATCCATACATACATATTAAATTAGCAAACTGTTCTTTTTTTCTTATATTTATTTGTTAATAAATGTCAAATATAAAATAATCAAAAAAATAAAGAAAAAGTCAATATTCTTCAATTTTTTGTCGATCTTTTTCAATTTGTAAAACTTTTTTTGTTAAACAATTTGAATTTGAATCATCGGAAAATGTTCGTTTAATAGAATTATTTGTTGATTGACCAAAAAAAAGATTTTTTTTCATTTCTATTAATAAGAATATTATCTTGATTACTATTTGAATTATTTATTTTTGATATTGTTGCAATAGTTGTTAAAAATTTACCATCTTCAGTTCAAGTTCGAGTCGTTCGTACTGTATCATTTGCACCTCGAATTTATTTATTTAAAAAAAAAAAGAAAAAAATTTCAATACGATTCATATGATTTCAATTCCATTAGATTTAATAAATTTTATAAATAATATTATTATTTTATTAATTTATTTAATATGTTAATTAATTGTTTATTTGAATACGTCAACTAACAACTATTTTACTAAATATTTATT